CCCCCCCCCAAAAAAAAAATAAAAAAAAATACTAGTGAATTTCATTCACAAAGAAGTTATTCTGCTTTCCTGAGATCAACACAACACAACACAAAACAGGTGTCCTCCTCCTACTCTCCAACTTCCAAAGCATCGTTCTCCTCGAAACGTATCGCAATCGTCGAGAAACAGCATCAATTTGCGTGGCGGAGTTTGCTATATCAATCTGCGTAGTTAAGAGGAGAATTTTCACCTAAAGAAGAAGAAAATGCTAGGGGATGGAGCCCAAACCCCTAGTCGGTGAGTCTACTTTGAACACTTTTAGCTCTTCTTTTACTTCTTGTTATTCTATTTCTATAATTAGGTCTCGAAGGATTTACAGTGATGTTTTTTTTTTTGTACTAATGAGTTTTTGGCGAGTCAAAGAGTTTTGCATTGAAATTTTTTGCTTTTGAAAAATATATTCGGGTTACACAACATATAAGTAGCTAAGAGATTGACGATTTTTTGTTTTTATGTATTGTATCGAAAAAAATAATGTACTTGCGAACTTGATTTCACTAGCATTATGATTAGGAAGGCGCTGAGTTAGGAGCTGAAATTTTGTGCAGTTGAAATCCCTATTTTCGATTACACAACGTACAAGTAGCTATGAGATTCAGAATGTTTTATGTTTATGTTATTACAAGCCGAGGGTCTATCGGAAAAAGCCTCTCTACTCTAGGGTAGGGGTAAGGTCTGTGTACAAACTAACCTCCCCAGACCCCACTAGTGGGATTATACTGGGTTGTTGTTTGTTGTTGTTGCTAAATTCATTTGACTTGCATTACGGATTACAAAGATGCTGAGTTAGGAGCTGAAGTTTTGTGTGGTCGAAATCCCTATTTGGAAACTTTTGGGTTATGTTAGTTTTTGGAGAAATATTAACTTGCTAAATTTATTTGATTAGCATTATGATTGTGAAGGCACTGAGTTAGGAGTTGAAATTTGTGCTGTTGAAATCTCTATTTGGATTAGACAATATATAAGTTGCCTGAGACAGAAGATTTTGCGATTATGTTGGTTATTGAAGAAATAATGAACCTGCTAAATTGATTTGAATAGCATTACCGATGGGAGGATGCTGAATTAGGAGTTAACCATTAGGAGTTGAAGTTTGTCTTGTTGATCTTTTTCATTTTCTTATGTCGCTGAAATGAAATCCTTAGTTGGAGGTTCAAGTAGCTGGAGTTGATAGGCTTTCACGTTTATTTTGTCAATTGAATGAAGTTATGAATCTGCCAAGTTAAATTTCACAATGTAACGATTCCTAAGATGCTTACGGTTGCTTATCAAATTGCCTTGTGAAGTATCAACTTCTGATTTTGGCACTTACTCTTGATATTGGGTAAGTAGATAACAAGTTTCTGGCATGCATTACCATGTTTTCAAGTCAATATAGTTTCAACTTCCTTTGGAAATGAAATGATGGTGAGGCTTTTCTTTCAGCTGATCGGCGTTGAATGATTAATATGAAAGGTTCAAAATGGCTTTGTTTTGCTCCTCATCAGTGGGTTTTTTCTTTATTTTCTAGGTTTATGTGATACGTTATTGTGAATTGCGTAAGAGTATGATAGGGGAAGTGAAGGGTGTTATACTGTTTGCTTCTATTTGTGTTAAATGCCTTCTCAAATTCAAACTCCATGCAGGTCTGATTTGCTATGTATGGTGAAAAAGAATTCAAAGATGTTAGGGAAAACCATAGTGGAAGATGAAGAAACATCGGATGTTGAAACAGATCCCGTTTTCTGGCATGACATTATGGACGTGTATTTCATTCGTGGCAGGGAGTCTAGGGGGCGTCAGGAAGACGATCTTGTATTTTTTGTTAAAAAATTGGTACACTTCTTATCATTTTCTCCTTGTTATAGAGTTTTTAGGTGCAACCTGCTGAATCTGAACAACAGTTTACTGAAATTGAATTACTATGAGGATATATTTTGGTGTAGCATTTGCAGAATCACGGGTCAAATGAAGATGAATCTGTGAACTCGCCATACTTTGTACGCAGGTGGGCACCTAAGGTAAAAGCGACACAAGTTTTTCATTCAGATTCCGTCACATGCATATTGAAGTACTTCCTTCCATTTAAGGTGTCAATCATTTGAATGTGTGCTGTATATTCACTAGAATGTGATGATCTATACAGTTCAATAAGCTTGGAAATTTGTACTAATCATCAAGCTTAGTCTTTCATGTAATTGAAGGGTTTTAGATTTCACTTCGATTTTCTTCTTTAGTTATCCGGACTTAGTTTAATTTGGATTTTAAGAAATTTCACAGCCTAACGGTTAAGATGGATTATAATTTGTCCTTGTTTCGCTAAACTTTCTTTAGTGCTTATGCATGAAGGTCGATTCTGATGATCTATATGTTAAAGAAAAAAATCAAGGTACTTCAAGATTCTGGATTAAGCCTGAAATAGAGACTTTAATCCAAGTATATGGGACTGGAAAATTACATCTATGATTTGAAAAGGGTTAGATGTTGGATGGATGCCCTACATCTTGATTAACAGTTGCAAAAAAAAAAAGTTACTGTTGCCAAATGCTACTTGGAGGAGTGGCGGTAAGGTGTTCCTATATTTTGGTTTTGCATGATAAGATGAGTTGTCTTCTTTCAAAATAGGCAATGTAGCAGTAGTCCTTGACTCCTTTCTAAATAGTGGTTGATGGTTGATCAATTTGCAACTGATAGATAGAAATACTAGAATTTCGCAAGTTCGTCAAAAAGCTGTAGCCTAGTTTGCTGATTAGTAGTCAGAAAAGCATGTCAGTAAGAGCTCATTCAATTTTTCTGATGATTTCTCTTTGTTGGTTATCTTTTTATTTGGTCCATATGTTACTTGGGGACATAGACTTTGGAGATCTTATCCTGGTTATGTTTTTGACCGGGAGCCAGTGAGCAACTGAGCATTGCAGAACATTTGTGGATGTGGCAGTATGCTGTGAGGACTTTCCATCTATTTGTGTTTTAAGATCATGCCACACTAAAAGGACTTGACATTCTTCATCCTGCAGAATGATGTAGATTTTCCTTTTCTATTCGTTTTGAACTACTGTCCCACTTTCGTTTTAAGTACCTACTTATATAGCACCAATGAGGAATTATATTTTAGGAAAGGTATAGGTTCTCAAGTTCTCTAAATTTATGGTTTAACATCTTCTACTTGCTTACATGATATATATTTTATTAACTGATTAAGTAATGCAAAGTGCCAAATTCTGATATGAAAAATGTAAGATACAGTGATCAGATAATATTTCATCCAGATTTCACGCTCACTTTTCTTCTTATCTTCAAGTTTTATTATTCATGGGCATCCTGGGCCTGGGTTGATATTATCTAAAGGACATATTCTTCACTCCAACATTGATGACACATTTTGATGTTAAGAATTTTTTTTTGACAATAGATATAGAAATTATGTAATTGAAAGAGATGATGGTTTCTCTAGCTTCGTTGCTTGGATAATCGAGTGTTAAGAAAGATGAATGAATTAAGACAATTGATTTTTTGTTTAACTTTATATTTGATTGTGGTTATGCTAAAGGTGAGATTGATAAAAAACAGTTAGTTATTTACCTTTGTCAGAATATAATAGATGATATAAGATGTTTCCAAAGGTGACAAATTTCTATTGTTCATTATCTTCCTGGCAGTTGGATGACTTGACTGGCGCAAGTTCGTCAGATGTTGATTGGAGGCGCTCCTTTTACTTGAACTTAATTGCTCAAACTTCTTTTAGTGTGACGGTGGCAATTTGTAGGTACTATTGCTTATTTCTCTTTGTTCCATGATGGGCTGTCTAATGTTCTATTTCACATGGTTGTGATATCTCTTTGACTGTACGCTGTGTTTTATGAGAGAGAGAGTTTGTGTGACTCGAGTTATTCATGAACTCTCGTTAATAAGGGAATCTTCAGAATAACGCCTATAAATTTTTTGAGTATCTTCTCAAAATATTCCTGTTATTTGGCTTTTGATAAAAGAGGAACTTCTGCTGTTAATTTAACTTTTGCCAGGATGTTCGGTGTTGTTTAATCAGGTGTTTATTGTATCAGCTAAAGCTTAGCAAACTTTTAGTATTCTCTTTAATGGTTTTTTCCCTTTTCCCTTTTTTTTCTTTGGTTGGTGTAGTCAGCAGGTCCTTAAGAATTACCAAACTGGCAAAGACAGACCATTATCTCCTATATACAAGGCAAGTAGGCAGATCAGAAATTTCATATTAGTGCTCATATTACTCTGATTTGAATTACTATTCAAGCAGTAGTTGTTTAATAAAACCTGCTCCCACTTTTATTGCTGTAGCAAGCCAAGTAGAATCTTTGTGACATGTTGGGTGCTTGGCTCATTCTATTTTAGTTTTCTTTCCTCAAAGATTCACATTAGTGAACAGCAAATCTGGTTTTATCTTTTATTTCTATACTTTTTCAGGTTATCAAAACTGTCTATGCGTCTCCAAGTCGTATCAATTTTCACTTGGACTCAAGGAAGGCAAGTATTTCTAACATCTAGAGATCCATATGGCTCCTTTTATGCTTGATTAAAGTGTCTTCTAATGACATTATTGATATATAATCAGGAAGTAGAAACAACCTCTGCCTACCCAGAGATATGTTTTGCAGTTGATGACTTTGATTCCACTTTTGATGCAGTGGTAATACATCTACTCTCAGACCACTTTTGTTAAGTTGCTATGTGGTAAAATATATATTTTAGTGACTCACAGAAAGGTATAACATACAAGAAACTTTGTTGGTAACTTCGAAGTTCAAAGATTGTTGCCCATTGTCAGATACTTTTCAGGCTGTTGGATTTGGATTATCAGAGCAGTTAATCACTCTTGGTTTCCATGTTCACTCTAACATTTCATTTGCATTAGATGTTTAAGCAATCAATTACCTCTTGAAGGATCACGGTGGTCTACCATTTTGCATGTAATCCGTTTATCACTCTTGGTTTTCATGTTTACTTAACATTTCATTTGCATTAGATTTTCAATCAAACAATAACCTTTTGAAGGATCACAGTGGGCTACAATTTTTGCACGTAATCCGAGTATAATGGAGTAGGCATTTTGGACATCTTTTGAAGTTTCAGACTTCAAAATACCTTCATTTGATAATACCAGAATTCTGTACCTATAGCTTGTGTTCATGTTTGACGTTGCAAAATTCTAGAAGCTTTTGCTGCATCTCTCAAGTCGCTGACAGTTGAAATTTGCAGTATCTGATCTTCCAAAGATGTTTTTTATCCTAATTTTGCTCTATCCACCTTATGCAATTTTACTACTTTGGTTTCTTTTTCTGCTGGGAAGAATATCTGGTAATTTCCAACCAGATCCTAATTGTCTAGTGATTCTCTTCCATGGGGTTTTAAATGATGAAAATTATGGTATGCTTCATGAAATGCAATTTTTGCTTCACGCTCAAAGAGTCCTGCAAATCATGTTGGCGATTCTATTGTTGCCACCTATATAATTACCTTTTCTCAACAAAAAAAAAATCAGGAGTGTGAACCCCCCTTAGCAGTAGTACTGCTGCTTAATTCTCAAAGACTTGAGTTGTCCTCGGAGCATGATTAAAGACATTGGTACAATAGGTTGACATTATCCTTCAATTAATGTACTTTGATATGAAGAGATAATTGATGCCATGAATGACACCCTGAAAGAGCAGTAGAATAGATGACATTGGGATACTCATTCTTGTGTTTCCCGACTAGTTTCCGGGAAAGAACAAATGTTGCTTAAATTTTGTCAGAGATTGATTTCTCCCATTAAATTGGGAGGAGACATGAAATCCGAGGCATCATTCTGTGAAATGACTAGTCTGATGATTGCTTAAATGAACACTCTCACGAAAAATAGGTAGAGCAAACTTCCTCTCTCACTTTTTGATGTGACAACAACTATAGAAGCATTGCAAATTATCTTTCTTTCAGGTCTTGACAGATGTAGATCACTGCTATTGTGTACTTTTAAATGCACATGATGGGGCTGCATTCCCGAGTGAGAGAAAACAACATGACTACAGTCCTGCTAATTCTTCAAAGAGTGATACAAGTTCTGGAAAAGTACCAACTTCAAAGGTTCGAGAAATTGATTTTCTTTGGAAGTGAATAGCATCTGTAATTCTTGCTTTGGTGCTTTTAGTTTGTAATTGTGAGAAGGCACGGGAGAAAATGTGTTATTGATATTGGATGAACAATACAATACAATACAAGAGGTCCTTATTTATAGCTATACTATACAAGGACATACTACTCTTCTACCAATGTGGGACAATACTACACTATATACATGCTGTAAACTAACACTCTCCCTCAAGCAGGTGCATACAAATCATATGTACCGTGCTTGTTACATATATAACCAATACGAGGACCAGTGAGGGACTTGGTGAAAATATCTGCAAGTTGATCATTCGACCTCACAAACTTTGTAGCAATCTCTCATGAAAGTATCTTTTCTCTGACGAAGTGACAATCAATCTCAATGTGTTTAGTTCTCTCATGGAACACCGGATTTGATGCAATATGAA